CAGGTTTTCCTTTTTTTTTTTTTTTGGAATTTAAAGTCTTATTGTTGAAAGTATTATATATGGCTCCTTCTTCTCCCATTGACCTCTCCCTGGCCGCTCCCGCCCCGAAGCACATGCCCTCGCCCTCCTAGTGTCTGTGTCCATTGGTTATGCTTATCTGGACACATACAAGTTCTTTGGTTGATTACTTACCCTCCCCACTTCCACCCTCCCCTGCCTTCACTCTGAGGTTTGACGGTCTGTTTGATGCTTCTATGACTCCGGATCTATTTTTGTTCATCAGTTTATGTTCATTATATTCCACAAATGAGTGAGATCATGTGATATTTATCTTTCTAGGAGAGGGGAGAGAAAGACAAGGAGAGAGAGAGAGAGAGAGAGAGAGAGAGAGAGAGAGAGAGAGAAACATCAATGAAGAGAAAGAATCACTGATTGGCTGCCATCTGCACAGCCCCAACTGGGGATCAAGCCCGCAACCCAGGCATGAGCCCTGACTGGGAATCGAATGGTAACCTCCTTGTCCATAGGTCGATGCTCAACCACTGAGCCACACCAGCCAGGTAGTATTTCCTTTTTTAAAATTTTATTTAAATTTAAAGTCTTCATTGTTGAAAGTATTACATATGGTTCCTTTTTCTCCCATTGACCTCTTCCTGGCCGCTCCCGCCCCGCAGCACATGCCCCAGCCCGCCTAGTGTTTGTGTCCATTGGTTATGCTTATCTGGATGCATACAAGTTCTTTGGTTGATCTCTTACCCTCCCCACTTCCACCCTCCCCTGCCTTCCCTCTGAGGTTTGACGGTCTGTTCGATGCTTCTGTGTCTCTGAATCTATTTTTGTTCATCATGTTGTTCATTATATCCCACAAATGAGTGAAATTTATCTTTCTCTGACTGGCTTATTTTGCTTAGCATAATGCTCTCCAGGTCCATCCATGCTGTTGCAAATGGTAAGAGTTCTTTCTTTTTTACAGCAGCACAGTATTCCATTGTGTAGATGTACCACAGTTTTCTAATCCACTCATCTGCTGATGGGCACTTAGGCTGTTTCCAAATCTTAGCTTCTGTAAATTGTGCTTCTATGGACATACGGGTGCATATATTCTTTCTGATTAGTGTTTCTAGTTTCTTGGGATATATTCCTAGAAGTGGGATCACTGAGTCAAATGGGAGTTCCATTTTTATTTTTTTGAGGAAACTCCATACTGTTTTCCAAAGTGGCTGCACCAGTCTGC